AAGCTTGTTCTAAGTAGGTGCTTTAGACCACTGAGCCATCTCACTAGCCCCTTTTTTTTTTTTTTTTTTAATAAGTCCTTAGTTAAAAAATATAGATGGTGAGGGTCATTTAATTAGCTGAATGCTAGGAGATTCTGAGCTTCTGTGTCTGTATGGTGTACAGGCAGAACAAATGGAAAAGAAACAACATGAGGAGTTTGAATTAAATCCTGACCAGTGGCGAAAAGGAAAGAAGTCTACCTTCCGGCATGTTGGAGATGACACCACTCGTTTGGAGATCTGGATTCATCCATCCCATCCCCGGTCTTCGCAGGGAACTGAGTCTGGGAAGATTGCTGAGCAGGAGAATGTACTGGGCAGCCTGAGCCCTAGTGATGTAAGTTTCTGAGAATGAAGCAGTGAACCAAACTAGTCCTTTAAACCTGGGTATCCTGGTTCATATAACCGTGCAGCTTTCTTTTTCTTTCTTTCTTTTTTTTTTATTTGTCTTTTTGAGACAGGGTCTTGCTATGCAGTTCAGTCTGGCCTTGAGCTCACTTTGTTGTGCAGGCTGGTCTTAAACTTACAACAATCCTCCTGCCTCAACCTCCTGAGTGCCTGAACTACAGATGTGTGCCACCATGCCTGGCGAAGCATTCTGTAGATGCTTCCTCCTCATCCACTTCAGGCTGTCTAAGGTGTTTTTTTTTTCACTTAGTCCTTTAATTTTATTATTCATTTCCCTCTATCACCACTATGTGGCACTGTAGAATTTAGTAAATGGATTCAAATTTTTCTGCTGTGTTCAGTTGTGCATCACCAGTATGATGCATTAGAATTTTCCTCAGGGTTTTGTACTGAATTTTTCCCTCTTGGTTAACTGACTCTCTGTCTACCTATTTATTTATTGTTTTTTTTTTTTTTTTTTTTGAGCTTATACATTATTTAGAAAGTGGACTAAAGCATCATGGGAAGTTGATTAGTCTGGTTTATGAATAGGCTTTTATAAGTTCTGAGGGTGGGGACATTTTCCTTGAAGCCAGGAGAACTAGCAGTAGATCAGAGACTTACATGGAAGGTTTTTTTCTCATTTGCTCAAATAATTACTGAACACTGTATCTATATCTCTCCGTGCTCTCAAGGCAGGCATTCTAGTACAACACGGGTGAATAGGGTGTTTGTTTTGGGAACATAGTCAATTTTAAGGGAGCATATTGCCATCGGACCAAAGCAACCATTGATCAGTTGAAGTATAATGAATAAATAAGAGTTATCTAGAAGAGAATGGAAAGAAGCATGGTAAAGATCTGAGGCAAAGGAAGTAGCATACAAAGACCTGAAGGTAGGGAGAGAGGACACAGAAGTTGGAAATATGTAGTTGATTTATTTATTTATATTTTCAGGGAAGGGTTTACAAGGTGTTCAGGGTCTTACTACTAGATTGGACTTGTAGTGATCCACCTGTGTACAGCCTCCCAAGAGCTAGGATTACAGGTGTGTGTGACCAATCCCAGTCTCAACTGCCATCTCAGCACGCCCCGGGGGCGGAGCCGGCAAGGCAGACCTGGGGATCAAACCCCCGGCCCCCCGCACCTGCATGCAGGTGCTTTAATGCGCTGTGCTATTTGGCTGGCCCATTGCTGATTTATTGTGCTTTGTATATAATCCAAGTGAGATGTAAAAAGAACTTGAACCAGGAGATGGCTTTAGAAGTAGGGAGAAGTGAACAGTTACAAGGTAAATAAATAAGGTAGAATCCAAAAGATTTGATTGGATATGAAAAGCTCATAGACAAGGGAAAATCAAGAATGATACAAATGTTTCTGATTTGGGAACTGGGTAGATGGTGGTCCATTTCTTGAAATAGGGAATAAAAATGCAGCTGGTTTTATTTAATGTATTTGGTATAGGATCTCATTGTGCAGCTCAGACTTCTGGTGATCCTTGTGTTTTCAGGCTCCCCAGTGCTGGGATTACAAGCATGTACCACCACACCCAGTCTTGGTGGCTGGCTCAGTGCGCCCAGGGGCGGGGCCAGTGTGGCATGTGGTACCAGGGTTCAACCCCTCCATCCCCATGCTTGCCTAAGCAGGTGCTTAGTCTGCTGAGTTATCTTGCCAGCAGTGGAGCTAGTTTTAAGAGAAAGATGATGTGTTAATTTTAGATTTTCTTTTTCTTTTTTGATGACTTTAATTTTATTTAATTTTATTTTTTTTAATTTATTTTATTTATGTGTGTGTGTGTGTGTGTGTGTGTGGCTAGCTCAGCCCACCTGGGGGTGGGGCTGGCTGGCATGCGGTGCTGGGGAATTGAACTGTGGTCCCTGTGCTTTACTAAGCTTGTTCTAAGTAGGTGCTTTAGACCACTGAGTCATCTCACCAGCCCGATGACTTTAATTTTAGATCTATTGAGTTGATCGTTCTTTTTTGTTATGTGTCATTTCGTTTTTTGCGGAACTGGGGATTGAACTCAGGCCCTTGCACTTGCCAGGAATTGATCATTCTTGTATGATACTGAGACAGTTGTAATTCAGAGGCTAGCAAGTGTCTGAAGCTAAGGAGAATATTTTAGGCCAGACATGAAGATTTTTGTAATATCTTCTTGTAGATGGTAATAAAACCATGAGAGGTGATTGGTTTGACTGAGGTAAAAACATAGTGATAAAGTGGAAGGTGTAATAAACAAGACACTTACACAGGATGGACAAAGTAAGATCCAGACAAGTGAAGATATTAGCTTGATAGAGAGCAAATGATCCCTTTTTTATGCCTGAGGGAAAGTATAAACCAGAGATATACCTGTGGATACAGTTAAACTTATAAGTATTATAGGAGGAAGAAGAGGGAGAGTGATGCAATTCAGAATGGCCTTGAGCTCACTTTGTAGTCCGTGCTAGTCTTGAACTCACAATGATTGTTCTGCCTCAGCCTCCTTAGTGCTAGATTACAGGTGTGCACCATCATGCCCAGCTGAGGGAGATCTTTTTAAAAAAAATTTTTCTCTTTAAAATTG